GTCTGAATACTTTCCGTACCCACTGTATATATATATATATATATATATATATTTGATCATTACACACACACACACACACACACACACATATATTGCATACTTTATATAAAGAACTATATAGGACTCACTAACATAAATCTACCAAAAAGTACTATGGTGCAAGATTCAGTACTATATCTCAAAATATTACCATTATTACCCATTATCATGATATTACGGCACTCTTTACTGCGGGTTTTTACAAATGTGTCTGAACAGAATATTCCTTTGAAGGAATTCAGCAATGGCAATGTAATACTGTCACCTATTTATTAGCACAATATTATTACTTCAGTAATAATTATTTCACATGGATTTAATGCCCCAGTTCCTGTTACTGTCCGAGAGCTCCTATGGACTCTTTTCAAACACTATAATGAAGCATCTCTGCAACAATCATAGCATCGTACGTTTGGCAAATTTTCATTTTTAAAAATGCGTACGTACATTTATAACAATATACTGTTGTGTTAAATTCCCAAAAAGTTTTTTTTTAATACAGCTTCTGAGGGAGTGATTGTAAATGTGATAATTTTTTATCTTCTGACTGCCATAATCCATCTTTTTTCCCCTCTTGAAAGCTGTGTAAACCTAATTGTTTTTTTCTTTTGCTGTTTGAGGTAATGGGAATGCAACAATTAAATATGCAAATAATGTCCTTAATGTACAAACAAACCTTAGGTATGTTATTTTTTACTCTTTGTATAGCAGATATTGTTCATTCTAAATGTATTTTTAAGGTAGAATATGCGTTACATAAATACATAAAATGCAGGACATATAAAAAAAAGTGCTCGTGGCTCGTCTGCCAGTGGGTGCCCCCCACGCATTAAAGTGAAACTCCGCCTATGATCAGAATGTTAAAATGAACAAAAATCTCACATTTCAGAGCAGACATTGATAAACATGTCCAGGCCAGGTTCGCCACTTGTTGCGGTCCCCTTAAACATTTCCGTTGTGGCCTGTGCATATTAACAGCATGTTTCTGTATTTGGTTGTGTTGCCAGTATTTGCAGCATATGTGCTGTCAAACCAGCCTGAAAGTATGTAAAAAACATTACTCATATAAACAGTATTTATAGAGGACATATACTTTTATACAGTAGTGAATTGTAACATTTTGTTCTCAATAAAGAAAACAAGTTTCTTTTAACTCCACCTGATGTCATGTTACAGCAATGTCACCATAATTCATCAGAAAAAATGAAAAATCACTGCCTGAAATTAAAACCACTTGAAATTATGATCGGAAAAATAAAATTACTTTAAACCTAGTGTTCACTTATTTTTTTTAATTTTTTTTTATTGCATTTTCATATTATTGAATCTTATTTTTATGAGCATTACTGACTGTTATTTTCTCGGTCACTGTCTTTGTGTTGGTTAAGTTGAAGTAAGCGACTTTTTCCCAAGATTCTGACTGCGATTAGTAGTAGAACGATGGTGAGCTCTGGTGGTGGACTGGTGTAATTGCTGTCTAATATTAGCACCCTTGGTAAATATGAGTTTAATTGGGGGTTGGGTGCCTTGCTCAAGGGCACCTCAGTCTTGGCATTGAAGGTGGAAGAGAGCGCTGTACATTCACTCCCCCCACCTACAATCCCTGCCGGTACGAGACTCGAATCCGCAACCTCTAACCATTAGGCCACGACTTCCCAACTTGCCCAAGATGGCCACCAAAGGACACTCCTGTGTCTTTGTTTTGCTCCACCTGGGTCTCCCTCGTTACCCTCCTTGTTTGCGTTAGCTATTCTAAGCGTTTCTTGCCTTGCCTAGCCTGTGTTTTGGACTCTGGACCCTGACCATTGCCCGTTTCTGGATTATTCTTTTCTCTTCCCTTGGATGTTATTGTTTGCTTGTGTTAGGCCCTGCTTGTGTTTAATAAAGCCTACATGTGGATCATCTGCTCCGTTCTCACGCCGTCCGTAACAATGATAGCTTTGCATGAGGAAAGACAAAAATTGACAGAGACTGGATTACCGAATTGAATTTAAGGATCGGATCAGTCTGATTAACAAACGAATCAGTCTGATCAGGTTTGTGAACAGAATCAATGATTCATTGAAAAGTTCTCATTCAAAAAAGCAATTTTAGTCAATCACAATATACATTTTAGTTTATTCACCACATGAGATTATCATAAGACTAAAAAAAAAAAAAAAGGATAAAATTGCACTGACCAATTTTATGGTGTTTTGTGATCTTTTTGAGGGTTAAATCTTTTAAATGAAACTTCATGAAAACTGGTGATTTGGAATCTTTAATCACTGGGATATTTGCTGTCAGACACTTAACAAATAAACCGGTTGTTGCATTGCTGCCTTCTGTAGAACTGCTTATAGCTGAACTCGTTTAATAATTGATGAGCCTGACAGATATTGAATTGAACTAAATCAACATTAAACTGAATTGAGCTGAACAATCACACTACTGTCTTGTTAGAACTGATATACAGCACAAGTTTCATCACTGATTCTGCTTTTTTCCTGTTTATAACTGTGAAGCTGCTATGAAAGAATATCTACTGTATAGAAACAATAAAGGAGACTTGACATATAGTCAATTATTATTTTTATGAAACCACAAATTTAGATGCCCATATTAAAAAAACTTAAGTGATTTTACAGAGAGAAATAAGCAGGAAGAATCATGCACTGAGATGGGTTGGAGATGGAATATGACATTGATGCATTTGGGATTTTGATTGATGCTTTTATTCAAAGCGACATACATTCAAACTATACTGTACATTATCCTAGACAAATGTTTGTATCCTCATAAAATATATTTCTAATGAAGGTGAATGAGAAAAACTTTCAGTAAAGCTCTGGTTAG